GAAGGTCGTTAAGACCGCCGAGGAGTCGGTGCACAAACAGTACCACGAGTTTCTGAAGGTCTTCTCGAAGGAAGCATCAAAATGGCTACCAGAAAGAAAGCCGTATGATCACGCGATCAAACTTGTACCCGGGTACTCGACATTCCATTCAAAGGTCTATCCCCTGTCAAACAACAAACAAGAGGAGCTTGACAAGTTCCTAAAGGAGCAACTGGCTAAAGGGTACATACGGGAATTGAAGTCACCCATCTTATCCCCCTTCTTCTTCATCAAAAAGAAGGAAGGGACACTTTGACCCGTGCAGGACCGCCGATTGAACGTGATTACGGTCAAAAATCGCTATCCCTTGCCGTTGATCGCTGAAATGGTAGACAAACTCCGTGGCGCTACACTGTTCATGAAGTTCGATGTTCGGTGAGGATACAACAATGTCCGGATCAAAGCCGGTGACAAGTGGAAAGTGGCCTTTGTGACTAACCAAGGGTTGTACGAGCCCTTGGTGATGTTCTTTGGTCTCACCAACTCCCCCGCGACCTTCCAGGCGATGATGAATGACATCTTCCCTGATCTCATCATCGGCAAAAAGGTCCTCATGTACCTGGATGACATCCTCATCTTCTCCACCAATCTGGAGGAGCATGATAAGGTCACGCGCGAGGTCCTTCAACGCCTACAGGATAATGATCTATTCCTGAAGCCTGAGAAGTGTGAATGGGATGTTCCCAAAGTTGACTACGTCGGTGTAAGGATTTACATGCATGCGCCGGTCTCACATCATAACCTCTACACCAAAAGGGTGCAATGTCAAGCTTGGCTTGAATGGAACGTTCCCAAGGTCGACTATGTCGGCTATGTGTTTGGTGGCGATGAGGTAGCAATGGATCCTGCGAAGCTAAAAGGGATTAATGAGTGGCCGGTACACCAGACCAAAAAGGATGTTCAGAAGTTCTTGGGGTTCTCCAATTTCTACCGCCACTTCATCAAAGACTTCGCCAAGATCTTGCGACCACTCAACCAACTCACAGGGAATGACTCATGGCATTGGGGTGAGGAAGAGCAGCACACCTTTGATGAGCTCAAGTGGCTCTTTGCTACCACACCAGTTTTGGCATTGTATGACCCGAGTCGAGAAACGCGCATTGAGGTTGACACCTCAGGCTACACCACTGGTGGCGTGTTGATGCAAAAGCAGGATGACGGCAAATGGCATCCCATTGCCTTCCGGTCTCATGCTATGGACCCTGCCCAGTGTAACTACGAGATCTACGATAAGGAGATGCTTGCAATCATTGAAGCGCTAGATGATTGGCGCCACTATTTCGAGGGGTTATCCAATCAGTTCGAGATCGTAAACGATCACAAGAACCTCGAGTACTGGCGCACGTCCCAGAATCTTACGTGTCGCCAAGCACACTGGTCGCTGTTCCTGGCTTGCTTTGACTTCCGCATCACGCACAAGGCTGGGACGTCGAATGGAAAGGCTGATGCCCTGTCACGTCGATCAGACCATCAGATCGGCGATGAGGACGATAACACTGATCAGGTAGTTCTCAAACCTGAAAGGTTCCGCATCGCCTCCGCCAGGCACGGTCATGCCTCCGTGACAGCGGATCAGTCGCTCCTGAAGCGCATCAGGGAGTACTTGGAGAAGGATCAAGAGGTGGCCGAGGCACTTGAAAAGGTGCAGAACCTCGGACCGCCCAGACTGCAGAAAGGCTTTGAGGAGTGGAATGCTGAGCAAGGGCTGCTGCTGTTCCGCGGGATGGTCTATGTCCCAAAGAACGCGGAGCTTCGGCGGGACATAGTCAGGATCCACCACGACTCGCCGATCGCCGGTCATGGCGGTCGTGCCAAAACCCTTGAGCTCGTATCGCAGAACTACTGGTGGCCTGGGATGTCTAAATTTGTCAACGAGTACGTAAGCACCTGCGACGTGTGCAACCATACCAAGACGTTCCCAGCTAAGCCCCAGGGTCCGCTTAAGCCGAACGAGATCCCCGAGCGCCCGTGGCAGATCATCACGACCGATATGATCATTGGCTTGCCAAAGTCTAATGGGTTCGACTCGATCCTGGTCACCGCCGACCGCTTTACCAAGCAGGTCCACTTCTCGGCCTGTCATGAGACCCTGACGGCAAAAGGTGTGGCAGACCTGTACATCCGCAATGTGTTCAAGCATCATGGGGCCCCAGCCAAGGTCATATCAGACCGAGGTCCCCAGTTCACTTCAAAGTATCTCCATGCGGTGTACAAGAGACTAGGGATCGAGCCGGCGCTGTCCACAGCATTCCACCCTCAGATGGATGGCCAGACTGAGCGCTGGAATCAGGAGATCGAGCAGTACCTGCGTGCTTTCACAAGCCACAGGCAGGATGATTGGGCAAAGCATGGGAACCGGCGCGCAACGTTGCCAATGCGCCGGCCCTCATAGCCAACTTCCACCGGAAGAACCCGAATGCCCCTTGTCGCCTCAATGCCGCGGTCTTTGGTGGTCTCAACTTTCAGCCAATGCCTTCGCCGCTGACTAAAGCACGCTGCCGCTCCGGGTGGGAGATGGGCAAGCCCGCCTCGCATGAGGTCATGCGCCGTTGGGGGGGGGGTAATGTCACGAGTTGGCACAGCGTCTAGCCGTTTTTTTAATTTTTTCCTTTTCGCGGGCTCGAACCCGCAACCTCTATACTACATGCCTGATACGGACGCGTCGTTATCTACTGTACAATTAGATTAGATGGGGCAGCAGTGCGCGGCACAGCTCGGGCTCCACTGACACAGCCTCTCTGACTCACCGGCCCCCGGGGCCGCGTCAGCATGCTGCGCACGGACCAGCTGCGCACGGACCAGTGCGCACAGCCTGCCCTTATCTCCCTCTGTATATAAGCCGGCCTCTGCTGCCCTAGGGACCTCAGTTTTGACCTCTTGTCCCTAGGTCAGTAAGCTCTCCTGTACTTACTTCCTTTACTTACTAACTAATACATTCTTGTCCCTAGCCTTAGGTTTGAGCGCTGCTCACCATCACATATACCAAAGATGGCAAGAGTGCAAGAAATTCCACTCTTTACTATTATATGCAAACCTTGAACCAGATGCCGAGCACGTGATCCTACCAACGCGCTTAAATATTGGCCACGTCTGGTTCTGCGACTCTCTTCATCAAGTTTGTTACATCACAGTGGTCAATAGTCCATCTCCCCACAGCAACAAATTTGCCTACCCTATCCAATCCATCCTCAAAACCCACGAAAACATCATATGTGCACATTCAAGAGCGCACCTATACGAACACTCCAACAACTTACCTCTCAACGTTGCACTTTGGTAAATGTCCGGCATTGCTCTATGGGCACTACTCGGTGTCATCGCCATAGTTAGTATATGTGGAATGGTGGTCATACTGGCCAGGTGGTATCGACCACAATGTGAGACAGAGCACATCGAGCTCCAACCCCACCCCGAACGCAGCTACACGTCGCTCGTCATCAATCGGGATGTCGAACCCCAACTACCGCCACCCATCTACATCCAAAACCCGAGCAAGTGGACCCTGCAAAACCCACAATGCGAGGACGCGTCATCCTAAAGAGGGGGGTAATGTTACAAACCTTTTCATTTTGTATGCTTTCTTGGATCATACAGACCTTATTATCTTATTTGCTTCTTTTCCTATCATGTTTCCATATATGATATCTATTACTTACACATGTATTCCTCATGTATGACTATCTTTCTCTTCACAGATATGTCTATTTCACTATCTCATGTCATATGTAGTTACTCATGCGGTTTGTACAATATATAAGCAGGCTGAAGCTGAGGGCAATCCTCAGTCTTCAGTTGGCACTTTCAATGCTAAAACCTAGCCGTGTCACGACATGTGCACACTGTACGTGACGACGCCAAAGAGCGTGCACGCAGAGCGCTCCATCATAAATGCATAGCTAGCCTTGTCGTCTGCTGTGTCGTCTATCTGCAGCGCGTCGTGCACACCGAACGGATTGCGGTATACCGCGTACATCTCGTTCCGCCATTTGCGTGGGCCGATCACGTCGGGCCAGCGCCCTTCGTCCCGCCAGCGCTTAGTCTGTTTCAATTTGAACCATAATAAGACGCGATTTCGCGTTACATAAGCATTTTGATCTCCGAAATGCGTCATGTAGATCTTGAATGTCGCGGCGCGTTGCGGCGCCTAAGGTCGCGTCCAAAATGCTTGCCTACTTGGGAATGTTATACGCGGCCGATTCATCTTCAATATCATATTGATATTGATGTGTCATGCTGGACCCTCCTCCTAGAGACTCCTTTCAGTTCAGCTCGCCTGCCGGCTATGGATTATGTCGCAAAGTTGTAGCCAACAATCTGCGATATGATCCACATGATCACCAGCTCGAAGGTGTCTGCAAAGCGTTGAATGGTATGGATTTTATGGCTATCACCCCAACGGGTCCAGAGAAAACAGGCTATATGATCGTTTTCAGGCTCATGGCACCTAAACACGTGGTATGCGCTGCAGGTCAAGGGAACCGATCTAGCGGTAAGAACTCTCGGCGAACAACGGCATCGCTCGGCCATCAACCGGCAATCGCGAACAGGTCTGAAATGCTGTCTTACGGTCGAGGGGCGCGTTTTGAAGCAGACAAAACACTTGCTACTTCGGGCGTCCAGCGCTAATCAGGATCACGATCGACGATACGAGAAGCGCTGTGTTTTGTTATTTCATTTCATTTCTTAAATTCCACGAGATTAGACTCCATACAATGTAGGTACATGTAGAGTGTATCCAAGCCAGGAGTGGTTTTTAACAGTGGGCTCCGCGCCCGTGTCCGGACACGCATTGCAAAACGCGGGTCGCTCAGCGTCCTCCCCCCACAAGTTTCGGGCAGACTAAGTGCCCCGCCGACGGCGCAGGGGGCGATCCTTGCGCGGCGGATGCCCCGTCGTTGGTCCGACAGCAAGACAAAACAAAAAAAGGGGGGTGGCTGGCGACGACACCCTCACCTCGCGCTTCACGCCGTGTGACCGGCGGCGGGGGACAGAGCAGGGGGAGGTGAGGTACCAAGAGCGAGGCCGCGCTCCTCCCATAAGATGAGGAGGTTCGTAGCGCGGGTTTCCGCGTCGCGGAACGCGGCGAAGTCCTCGCTCAGGAACGAAGTGAACGCGGGCACTTTGTTCCGGTCATGGTGGAAGCGCTGCCACCGAAACACGCGCTCGACAGTGTGCGCGAGAAGATGGGCGTTCGCCGTAAAATGAAGCAGGAAGCGCTCGGTTTTGACAGGCGTGATTGAGGACTCGGAACTGCCCAAGTTTGTCCTCCACGCCGATATATGACACACAGCCCTCTCTGTCCGGGTCTCACATTCGCCATCAGCGCGCTCCTGTAGCCGCGCCCCGTGTTACGTTTGCACATCTCGCTAACACTTGTTGCAGAAAGGTGAGTTAGGTCTACCAATCTCTTAAAGTTTTTTCCACCAGAGATCGGACAGTTGTTTCGCAGTAAGAGTTGTGTTCTCCTGATACTGTACATCTGTGGCTGATTTCGCTACCGCATCTCGGATCGTCGGCCGGAGACAACAGTTACTTTAGAGGGACGCGCCTACTCTTTAATCGCTCACCGTATTCGCCGTAAACCATCTCTCGTAGACATTGAATAAAGGAAATACATGGACAACTGTATGGTTGTATACTGCATATTGGGACATAGGTAGTTAATCATAGGCTATTTCTCATATCCAAACTGGCCATAGAGCCACATAGATCTCAACAATTACTCTCTGACCCAGCATCGACCGAGTAATATGTGGAGTTCCTGAATCCGTCTAGTATTGATATCGTTCATGTTTATGTATGAGTTTGAATGAAGTGTAGCCGACGCACTGTTCGAGATTATCACTTGCGACGACGGGCAGTGCGATGCATGCCAAGTACACGCGGCGTGCCGTCTACCCATTGTCGGAAGATCTTTAGGGTGTCATCGAGAATTTCTATCGCGTTGTAATCGACCTTGTGCTCCTTGTAGAAGGCGTCTAAAGCCATTACGAAATCAGCTGGTCCGGCACCCTTCGACAGCGCCAAGCCGGCGTTGTATGTAGCGAATTGGGGAGGAACACGGGAATACACGTAGCCCACGGTCTTGAATTCCCTTCGGAAAGCACAGCTCTTGTCTGTGTCGGGAACGTCGCGGTGGGCAACAACGCAGTATTTGTGGATGGGGCCATCGCACACTTCAAATGGCTCGTCCAGCGACTGGATAGCACCGTGAGCAAGATACCATGTCCATGCCCTGTCTCTGTACTCACCATGCCTACATCTATGGGGACAATAGATGGTGCGAGATACTTCTTGATGACCTCAGGTTCAGGCATGAACAGCAGATCGCCTTGATCCCACATGGAGTGAACATCGGCTCTCACTATGTGGGGTATGCATCAAGGCTACGCCGACCAACCGGGGGGTACGCACTCACATAGGAAGATGTTGAAAGGCGTGTTGATGTCGAAATCAACAAGCCCCCACCATGCTGCAAGGTTTTTACGCTACAGGCGGGAGAGCACGTGAGTCAGGTTGACGTGAACACCCCCAAGGACGATTGTGGATTACCGTTGTGTGTGTAGTGCTTCGCGCGACGACGTGGCAGCACTGAATGGACTTGTCATCTTGCAGACTGAGCAGGCACCGTGGACCAGTGGGCGCCAATTGGGCAGCGCACGACTTCAGGTTGCTATAGCACGGTACGTCTTCGGGCTCGGGGGTCTTCGATTCGCGGCCTATATCCTGGACAAGGCCTCCTGGACCAATGACAGCTATTGTACGATATGAAGATGTTTTGGTAAGTCCGTATCATATGGCAAGGCGACGCATAACGACGTACCTTTCGGCTGTTCAGGCGTCCTTGGTATGCCTGTCGGAATGACTATGGGAAGACTACAAGCGAGATCGGTGATTGCGTTGACAGAAACCAAATATGTTCACTAACCTGGGCTCATCCTCCGCTTCCTGTTGCTCATCCTCTACCTCCTGTTGCTCGTCCTCTACCTCCTGCGGCTCATCCTCGTTCCTTATCAACTGTGCATCCCAGGGTAGTGGTGCAGTCCACAAGTCACCCAATGTCACCATACCCTCCACAACACGGGATGCATCGGCCTTGAGATTGATCCTCTTGTAGAACGCCTCTAGAACTTTTACCCACAGCTTCTTGTTCTCCTTGATCTTCATGACAGCGTTCAATATCATGAAGTGTGGCTTTGCCTGCGACTGGACACATTCGATCGTGTCGAATCTGCAGGCGAACCCTTCTCGGGTTTGACTATTTGCAAGGGCTGGATGAGGGACCACAGAGTAGCTGTAAAATTTCTCTTCTTCGAGGACCTAACCGCATTGTGGCGACCATTCACATCAGCCATAAACTATCGGGCTGCAGCCACTCACCTCCCAAATCTTGTATCTGCCGCTATCCGTGAACTTATCCAGCAGCCTCATGACCACATTAGGCATCGGAGCGATGAATAGGTCTCCACGATCCCACAGTACGTGCAGATCTCCACGGACTGTATGCAAGTAAGCCCATGCGTATCTGGATGCCTCAGGGAAGGGAGACGCACGGAAAGCCACATTATGATGGGAGTCCACGTTTAGTGTTTTTGTCAGACCCCACCACCACTCCAGAGACGCGAGCTATGTGTGTGTATGTATGTACACCGTCAGAGACACTGCATTCGCGCAGGAGCCACTTCAACTTACCACTGACGAGTCTGTGGCTCGTGGAAGTACGTGGCAAAATTGGACTGTCCTGTCATTGAGCCTCGATAGAATGCAGGCGCCTTTGTTCGGAGACTTGTCGACAGCTCGCTGTCGTGCGTCGTCCGACATGCAGACCTTGCGTTTCACTCTCCGATTTGGGGTACTCCCATCCACCGGCGTGGCCTCACGGTCCGGCTCATAGCCGTCTTCGTCGTCTGATGATTTTATTTTCCGTTTGACATGCTTAGGCTTGAGCTCTAGATCGGGCACAGAGCCGGCGTCACTGGACTCGTCGTAATGAACTGTGGCCGGGCCACAGTCAGGGCAAATCGGTCAACGATAACGACGAGGATCCATACCTTTCTTCACATCTTTGAGCCTAAGAGATCGTCTCGGCTTGAGAATGCCGACCATGGCCAGGGAATTTGAGGGGGTGAAGTGGAGGTGGAAGGTGAAAGTGAAGGAGAGACGG